CTAAATGAATGAACATGACCACGCCAGCCCAAATTAAACGTCTCCTTTCAGTAAATACAGGTCTTTCAATGTCATATTGGCGCCTATGGATCTAAGGCAGTAACTGCAAAGCGCTGAGGAACTTCAACCAACGTAGTTAGCATTTTCTAATCGAGAGAAGGCAGAATATTCCGCAATGCATAGTCTCTTATCTACTAGTACTGAGTTCTACACCCGGCATCGCCATTCGGCATTCTGTCAGACAATTGGTTTCCGGCAAGAAACGCAGTGCGTCAAAGTTTCGGTCCTTGGCACCCTTAAGCTACATATTAGCTATATCAATGCAGAAGAGATCTCACAAATGGCGTTGGGCCCCTTTTGAATTTAAAGATCTGTGAAATGCAATACATTTCGACAGAATATTAAATATGTAACCTCACCTTAGTTTAATATAGTTTGTGTTCGTGTTATACCGAGAGACATCGGCTTGCATACTTGCGCCGAGCCGCATCTATGCGTGTACATAACATCAAATAAAGCATGGATGATCATACGAAAATAAACTACAGGCGAACCAGTGTCACTCCTCCACCCTGAAGTTGGCTTCAAACGCGTATTTTCAGCGACCACCATTATTGAAATATCCCAGGGTGATCCCGTATCAATGCACTGGATGCGCTACGGCACTGGGCTATAGGATGTTTTGGAAGCCGCTGCTATTGTTTTTGTTAGCTAGGTTTCTTCTAGCGGAACCCCCCCCGTAGGCAAGAAAAAAAACTACAGGTACTGATCAGTGGTTGCTTCCTTGACAATCACAAATTCAGGCTGTTGTCAACATATTCGCACTTGAAGACTCGTCTTGGTTTGATTTTACTATTGTGTTCTATATTATTGTGTTCATTATTTACTTAGCTAATCACTCTACCATGAAGCCGTCGTAACGATCTAAATAAACAGTAGATGAATTCGCATTTTAGCACATCAACTCCACGCGTTATACAGATATGTCTGAGAGGTGGCGCAGCAATTGTACAGCTTCTCGAAAACACGGTTCCCTAATTTATGATACTGAAGAACTCACAGTGTAAAGTAACCTTACTATAATCATGCCGACTACATACAGATGTACGTTGCGGCGCATATTTTTTAGACGGAACCTGTAAACGGATTACCCTCGGATATTGCTTAACATTGGATAACAAGATGCTTGATTTTGTTGTTGCCCATATTTTGCACGAAAGTTTTAGCTATCATGTTCCTATAAGCTTATCAAATTCGCTACTTATATCGTACATACGTGATCTGAAATGTACGACATATTGTTTTAGTGTGTTTTTAGTTCTTCTTAAAAACCATAGAACCTGACGGAACGCCACGCAGCGATAGCATTATGTTCCTATTTATTGAGTTACAGTGGTAAGTGTATAGTACACGTGATCATTTTTATTGAAAGGTGTCATAGTCATGTTTCTTGCAAAGATTTAACAGCTGCGTTAAGGCATTCGTTGGCCTTCTAAAAATTAGCGGTGCGTTTAACTACTGTCAGATTCAAACTCTTGAAACAAATCTAATAATAGAAACTGCAGCCCTTGTGCCACACCCAGCGTGCGACGAAAAACCACTGGGAGTCCTCTTTGATAACGGCAGGTTTTCATGGATAAATCTTGGTAGACGATACTTGCGTGAACATGCACGACTAACCTTGCACCATGTTTAGCAGCTGTGTCCAACTAACAGGTTTACGCAATGAATCTGATTATCCAGCGGATGGGTAGGGCACGTTCTACGTTTACCAGAACTGGGAGCTCATCGAGCTACCACTTGTTGTAATAGTCCCACCCTTAAGCTGAAATCTTGATTTCATCAACTCCACTGCAGTGTACTACCACTCCCCGATCTGTGTTGATTTCCGTAGATTATGTATATTATAAGGTCATCCCTTATTTGGTCTTGAAAGACGACGTAGACGCCACTGACTACTTTTTTCCCTTCATAGTCGCTCACTTAATTCATCAGTTAACCTTATGTTTTTGCTGCTTCCTAGAAGCAGCAATCTCGTAGAGATTCCTGATTGCGACGATACGTGTTATCATCTTACTAAACACCAGCCGTTATCAAGCAGTGGCTGAGATCGTAATCTAGTCTGGAGGGAACGTTCCGAAGTAGCAATAAACGTCGGCCGTCGCCATACCGCTTTTCCTTGGGCGCCATCGTTCTTCGGACGCTATTCAAACTGAAATCAGGAATCAAATTTTGGCGGATCTTGACACATCGGTTGAGGATTCACTAGACTGAGAAGATTCATTTATGACTGGATCGGACTGAAACAAACGCAGCTGTGCAGCCTTTTTGGCATCCATTTCTATTAATTCGTTCCTTGTAAGATGGGCCACAATACCAGCACCGAAAGCGTCCCCAAGTACATTCACTGCGGTTCGACCCCGATCGACTATCCAATCCACAGCTATAACAAACGATATGTCTTCTGCGGGCACGCCCACCGTAGTCAGAACAAGAAGCGTTGTCACAATGCCAGAAGATGGAATGGCAGCGGCACTAATTGAGGAGACAATGGACATCAGGATCAAAACCAATATATCACCAACACCGAGGGTAATCTGATTCACCTGTGCTATAAAAAGCGTGACGATTGGCTCGTGCAGAGCCACGCCATCCATGTTGACGGTCGCCCCAATTGGTAAAACGAAGCGTGTGACGCGTTTGTCAATTTTGAGGTTCTCTTCCAGACACCGGAACGTCACAGGCAGAGTGGCTGCGCTTGATGCTGTAGCTAACGCAGTGAAAATAGCCTGCAGCATTCCTTTGTAAAAGTCACATGGATTCTTCCGGGTAACAGCAAAATAGATCGTAGGTAACGTGACAAGGGAGTGAACAAGCAGTCCTACAACAGTGGTGATCATGTAGACGCCCAGCTGCGCGGCCATGGTACCGATATCTTCGACAGACGTAAACTTCCCGATAATCAGCGACATGATACCGAACGGAGAGTACCACAGCACTATAAATACAATCCGCATGATGATTTCATTTAGTTGCACAAAGAACCTGACGACGACATCACCTCCGTAGCCCATTTGTCCCAAAATGATTCCAACGATGGTAAAGAACATAATGAGGCCGGGCATGTTCGAACCATCTTTCTGTATCAACTTTCGTTGCGTGCTAATTAGCGTCCTACCAGTTTCCGTCTCTATGCTCGTAACATTTTTGTAGTATGTTTCCGTCCGCGAAATGCATGCTTCGACGAGATTCTCAGGGAACATATTCCGGATGATATCAAGTAAAGCGTCAACCGTGGAGATTTTCTTCAAATCTTCTTGTACAATCTTTTTCGATTGTGACTTGATCGTGGGATCGCCAGGATGAAACATTATAACCACTATAATACCAAGAATTGCAGCGAGTATTGTTGTCGAAAGATAGTATACCAACGCACGCGTACCCATTTTGCCACTTGATTTCGGGTCCATCTGTGCCAGACCGGACACAACTGAAGATATGACAAGTGGCAGTATCAGCATCTTCAACATGGACATGAATATCTCACCAGGAAATCCAATCAACGTAATGGTTTCTGCCGAAGGCGAAAGCATTCGCACAAGAAGACCGAACACAACACTTAGTACAACCCCAAGGACAGTTAGAGCTAAGAGCAAATTTTCTTCACCCCATGCTGTGTACATTGGTTGAACCGTCATTGCACTACTAAGTATGCTGCTTACACAGGCCTCGGCAAAGGCTCCAGCCCGTGACTTAGCACCGAAACCCTTCAGGGCTATCGACGACACATCGCTTGATGCCTCTGGTGATTTTGACATACTAGTAGAACACTTACAGTATGGCATTCATTGAAACTAGAAGGCTTTGTTTACCCCATTAGAAAAATGCAGCACAATTTATGTTGCAGTGGTGCTCGCTTGATTATGATCTCCTATGAAATCACAGCTTCGTCGTTGTGGCTGTGTGGGGACTGTACACATTGTATGGTAGACAATCCCTAATCCTGCTTCTCGGCTGCTACCCGAATTTCTTTGGCTTGAGGATGAGTTCATATATCGCCTCATCCTGTAGGGGCTGACAGGCGGGACGCGACCCATCATTGAATGCGCTGCTCAAAGCTACACTGCCTCATCAGGTAATACTGTACACTTGTGCAATGTTCGAAGCATGGCCCTGTTCCAGTTAATAGTTTACAACTACGTCATAGACCATCGCATAGCAAAAGGTTTCATTCTGTCTATTATTGTTGGGCACAATACCTCCTAAAATAATTGCTCTAGATACAATATCACATTCTGTTCGAACTTTTTCCCTAGCGAATCGATATACGATCACCAATGTCTGTATAATAAGCTCGTACACGTGTCGCACACGCACATACATTTCCACATTCGCTAGAGGTCTCCCACATACGGCTCTACTCGAGTCTTTTTCTGTTCGTAGAAAACGTCTTTTAAGTTCCGCTCCAAGTTTGTAAGTTTATTGGGAAATCACGTCGAGCCGGTTCACCTTGGGTCTATTCTCAATGAAAATCGATCGTTCATGTTAAGAACGTACATCAACACTTGCCTGTTTTCTCACCTATTACTGTTAATCATTCTGCCGCTATATTTACATCTGTCTCGCGTGATGAAATGAGCTGTTAGAGACCTTCAGCTCCACTAACCCACTAATCAATTTTACTTGAATTGTGTCGTCTTTTTCGTGACTCTAAGAGCTTTGTCATGTACGAGGTGTCGTCACATTATTGCTATTGAATTAAAACACTTCATTCACAGGCTAGGTTGATTCCAGTTGGCAACGGCAAACTCATGTGCAACTTCGAGACGATACATACTTTAAGCCAGCCCACTAACCACAAGCTTTTACGGGCAGACATAGGGAACAACGTTTCTAGTAAAAAAAAAAAAAAAAAAAAAAACTCTTCGAAGGGTTATGTAAAGCTGCTGATCGGCAAGCACAACATTGTCGGACAGATTGGCCTATCAGTAAATCTCGGCGAACGATTCTCATGACAATCAGTGAGTCATACAGCGTGCCGTACCTCGTCGTACTCTGAAATGGTGCTCTCGGATCCACTGTTATCAACGGTTTGGACGACCGGAATTGTCTTAGGTGCCACCCGAGGGACAACCTTTTCGACTTTTTTCTCCGGTTGTTTTTTTATCATGTAGTCTACGATGCCCGCGCCGAAAGCATCTCCTAGCACATTGACTGCGGTTCGACCGCGATCGATAATCCAGTCAACTGCAATAACAAAAGATACGTCATCGGTGGGCAGACCCGCAGAAGTCAGGACAAGGAGTGTCGTCACAATACCGGCCGATGGAATCGCAGCGGCACCAATCGATGAAGCAATTGACATAATAGTTAATATTGTTAGGTCGCCAAAACCGAGGGAGATGTTATTGATCTGCGCAATAAACAGCGCTATGATAGGTTCATGCATTGCCACACCATCCATGTTAACGGTGGCCCCGATCGGCAGAATGAAGCGTGTTACGCGTTTGTCAATATTAAGGTTCTCTTCCAAACACCGGAAGGTCACGGGTAGAGTGGCTGAACTGGATGATGTAGCTAACGCTGTGGCAATGGCTTGCATCATCCCCTTAAGGAACGCACATGGGTTCTGTCGAGTAATAAGAAAATAGATGAGGGGGAGCATGATAAGCGCATGAACGAGTAGTGCGAGGAAAGTGGTAAGCATGTATAAGCCGAGCTGTGAAGCTATAATGTCTATATTCTCAAGGGATAGTAACCTGCCAATGATCAGCGACATAATGCCCAACGGTGAAAACCAAATCACGAGAAAAACCATCCTCATTGTTACGTCATTCAGTTGAACAAAGAATCTCACTACGATATCGGCTCTGTTTTCCATTTGTCCTGTAACAATCCCGAACACGACAAAAAACACCAGAATGCCTAGGATGTTCGTCCCATCTTTATACACCATCTTTCGCTGGGTCCTATATGATTTCTCGCCCGTGTTAACTTCTATGGACGTAACATTTTCATACTGTGTCTCCGCCCTTTGAATGCATGCTTGAACGAGGTTTTCGGGAAACATATTTCGGATAAGGTCAAGAAATGCGTCCATGGTTGAAAGTTTCTGCCGGACTTCTTCTGAACGGGGTGCTGTGCGTGTTTTTAACGAAGGGTCGCCAGGATTTATCACGGTTGCCATGATAATACCAAGAATAGAAGCGATGATCGTTGTCGCGAAGTAGTATGTCAGTGCACGCATGCCGATCTTACCACTGGATTTAGGATCCATCTGGGCTAGACCAGCAACAACCGACGATACGACAAGGGGCAGTATAAGCATTTTCAACATGCCCATGAACATTTCACCCGGAAACGACACTAATGTGATGATATCATCCGAGGGTGACAGCGTTCGACCCATGATTCCGAGCACGAAACCGATCACAACCGCAACAACCGTGATCACTAATAATAGATTACCTTCACTCTGTGAAGAGCTTTCCGGCTTGACCACGTTTGAACTGCTGGTTGAGCTGCTGAAAGAGAGAACGTTCGAGGCACCGGATCCGTGAGTCACCGGATCTACCGACGTTTGGTAAGGTGTCACATCTGGGGTGTTGTCGTAAAGTCTCTGCACTGATTTTAACATTACGCTAGTGTCGCACTTAGAGTACGCTACACATTGACCTAACTCACCCTACTTCACCCCTGGAAATACATGCAAGAACGTGTCACAGTAAATTGATCTACATTCCTTGAAACACCATCTGTTACAATGCCATGCACTTAATTCTAGTCTCCAAAAATTGTACACTAGCTTCGTTTTTGTTATTTGTTTAAAACGGTTAGTCCCTGCCAGCAGCAAAGTGAGTCTACGCCCGGTTTTAAACTCAGATTACAGAAATATCTCTACGGTTCGTAAGCCGCCAGCACCTTAAATACAAGCTTGACTTTTGCCCCGCACGAAGTTAATTATGCAGGCTTTATATGGGCAGTCACGTTACGGCTGCAGCAGCCCTAGGCTTTTTATCTCACAGAAAAACATGTTTAAAAAGTATAGAAAAGACATAGATGTCTTGCAACTCTCACTAAAAATTCGCAATCTGTAATTTTTGTCCTTGTGCTTGCGCACACTGGGCCTTAGCTGCGACATAGCTGCAAAAATTCTTGCTAGGCGACTTTCTTTGTCCGTTCTCCTAGGGATAAAAAAGCGGAACTAGTACTTACTGATTCTAACAACAAGGGTTTTATAGACTTCCCTTTTCCGGGGACCCTGCTGAGAGTCCTGCTGAAACCCACATGTTACTTGTTATTCTAAAAACAATTTTAGTATTGTAAATGTGGACGCCACAGAAGCATCTACACGGTCTGCTGGACGTCAAAAACGTCTTTAATAACCTTCCATAGAAGATTATATTCACTCGCTCTTTCAAAAACTACCAGCTAACTGCCTCTTCTGGGACTTGATCTTAGCATGCTAGTGTGAAATCTCAGTTTCGGCCGATTAGTTTTTCCCGATTAGAAAATATGTTTAAACACATACCTATATAGGGGACATTCTACATTGCTAATGAGCGATAGCGATGACGACTAAGGTGACAGCAGGATTCGCCAATGAGAAATATCTACGGGCTACGGGAAGGCACATACAAGCATTTCATGTCGATTACCACATTCACTAACCTATTCAAGGTTCCAGCTTCGTTTGCATCGGTATCTAGGACGGCAGAAAATAGGGCGTTATTACAAGCCCAGCGTATTCCTGCACGCGTATAAGCCACGAGCACTGGATTGTAAGTACTTCATAATACTAGCAAAAACGATACCCTGGAAGCTTAAAGTCTATATGAAGAATACTTGTAGTTCAGACAAACTAGGGGTGCAACCATTAATACCGTGAAAGACGATACCACACTTCATTATTTTGAGAGGATACCGTTCCGGTAATTGCTGACTGGACCGCGAAGCCTGGACGGCAACGGACAAACTATAAAACCCAGTTCCTAATGTAACACGGGAATTTCCCACTTACCTGCACACGCAAACAAGGCATCTTCGCCAATATGCCCAAAGGTCCGAATACGCACACTTTGATGAGTTGCCTAGTATTGGAATTGGCGAGTGGCCAGACTTCTGGACGAAAGCTCAGAGAATAGACCTTCGCCGTTTTACAGTTCTGCTTCATTTACGAAACAGTACAGCAATGACACTAACTGGCCATAAATGTACAGGTCGAAAAGGAGGCATTAAATGGGTAAAACAGCAGACCAGCTGAGCAAAAAACAACCGTAAATCCTAATCGCCCCGCAGAACAAAGTGATAACACGCAATAGGCGACTACGCGAGATTACAACGGACACTGCTAGACAGCCATATACGGCAAACGAATACGTTGAACGGATAACACCCCACGCACAACAGCGGAGTCGGAGCGAATCGGAGAACCCAACAGAATGGTGCGTCTGTATGTAGCTAAAAAATTTTGCTAGAAACACAAATCCACCAGTCGTCATTCCCGCAAGCTTTGATTTGAATCGGTTCCATATCAAGGCGTAAGTGCACGGAGTTTATCCATAGTAGAGACCAAATAGGTTAGTAACAGTGAAGTTCGTTTGACATAATGCATTAGTTCTCAGTCTGCTGGAGAAATACTTGAAAAATTGGTCGAAACTCCTGATTCTGATGGCAGCACTGTACACTCATAACGTTTTTTTACAGATTACCTTTTATAGGACCGTATATTGTAGATAAGGTCTATGTGGAAAAATACTGCACAGTGGAGAAATACTGCAGACTTAAAATTCTGTTTCACTTTATGTGTCATAAAAAAATATATCCAAGACGCACTGTTACTGAGCACGAAAAAAAATATTTGACTTAAGAAAGAGTTGCGCGCTGTTCCTAAGCATGATAGCTTCTATCGCAGCGTACATGCACAGCGGTCCACAACATATGCTTTACATCAAAATTTCACTCAAATAAACGTTGACGGTATCTGGTTCCGACCCATTTCACGTATTTCATCTTCTACATAATATAACCGCATCGATGCTATTGGTGATACTCTCTACTGGCTGTAGAGTTCCGTCTTACTCGTGTTTCCATGTTTTTGTTATGTCGTCTCGTGATTTCGAGGACACCTCACCCTTGGTCTTGATTGGAAGTATTAACTTGTAGTGGCCTCTTATAAGAACTGCAGCCAGATCTATTTCAAGGCATCGAGGGCTAAACGTTGATAACAGAACAATTCGTCCGAGAGCCGTGGGGTTTACTGAACAACATTTAAACTCAGGCATCACTTGCGGGTTTATTCCTTTCGTGACGATAACAATTGACTCTGACTATACCTGGCGCGGAACTCCTTTACGGTCGCCTTATGTTGGCCTATCTTTTTCGAATCCGTCGCGCCTAGTTCATTTTTGGATAGGTGAGCTACTATGCCGGCACCGTACGCGTCTCCGAGGACATTAACCGTGGTGCGGACCCGATCCAGTATCCAGTCGACAGTAATTACAATTGAGATATCTTCGGTGGGCAAGTCCACAGCGGTTAGGACTAAAATCATTGTAACTAAGCCAGCTGACGGAATGGCAGCGGCGCCAGCGGACGCTGCAGTGGCTGTCAGCGAGACGAGCACAAGGTCTCCAAAACTAAGGCTGATGTTATTCATTTGTGCGATAAAGACTGCAGCGATCGCTTCATACAGAGCCGTCCCGTCCATATTGATTGTGGTTCCAATTGGCACTACAAAACGTGTTACACGATTGTCTATCTTGAGATTATCCTCGAGACAGCGCAAGGTTACCGGCAATGTGGCCGCGCTTGAAGATGTACCTAGCGCAGTGACAATTGCCTGCAGCATCCCCTTTATGAAAACGCCGGGATTTCGTCGTGTAATCCAGAAATAGATCAGTGGCAGAGTAATACAAGCATGAATGAACAGCCCCAAGAGAACGGTGCCCATATATACACTAAGCTGTGCAGCTGTTGTGCTTAAATCTTGGACGGAGATAAGCTTACCAATGATCAGTGACAGGATACCAAGTGGTGAAAACCACATGACGAGAAGAACGAGCTTCATAATGATTTCATTTGTCTGCGTAAAGAACCTCGCCACAACATCGACTTTTTCTGCTAACTGTCCGGAAATAATTCCGAACATAGTAAAAAAAACAATAATGCCTAGAATATTAGTGCCATCCTTAAAGAGGATTTTTCGTTGCCTCTTATAAGATGTCTTCCCGGTTTCGTTGTTTAATAACGTAGTATTTTCGTATTCCGTCTTAGCACGCGAGAGGCACGCCTGCACGATATTTTCAGGAAACATATTTCGAAGAATGTCAAGCACCGTGTCAAGAGTCGAAACAGTCCTTTTAGCCTGTATCAGTCTGCTTTCCCATCCGAGCTGGGCTTCGCCAGGATGGATCGCGATCACCAACACGATACCGAGAATAACAGCGATAGTTGTTGTAGCGAAATAATAAATGAACGCCGTAATACCCATTTTGCTACTTGACTTCGGATCTAATTGTGCTAGTCCGGACACAATAGAACATACGATAAGGGGCAATACTAACATCTTCAACATGGCCATAAACAAGTCCCCGGGAAACCAGACCAATACAATTGTTTCCTCCGTATACTCAGCTTCTCGCGCGAAAATGCCGATTATGGCACCGACTATAACCGAACCTACGGTTAGTATTAACAGCAGATTTTCTGCAACCCATTGCGCAGTTGATTTGCTCGTGATAACCGTGACTTCCCCGCTAGTTCTAATCCCGGAGGCGTCGCCTTTACGTGTCACGCGCCCATACTTGGTAGAAGCGCGTCCATACTTCACAGAGGTGCGACTAAATCCCTGAGATGATTCTCCCATTGTAAAGTAAAACGCCACTTCTTGATAAAATCATAAAACTTAGCTCAGCAGTCAGAATAGCAGAAACCAATACATTGAACTTAGCTTATAACAGGCTTCAAATCATAGGAATGTAATATGTTGGAGCGGTACATTCGTTGGTCGTCTCCGGTTAGCGTAACAGCTTCGTTTTCGTTACGGTGTAAGGATTAAGTTTTGCCTTCTACACAGTTTTAAATCTTATGCGCCTTGCTTAAGCTAACACAAGAGTAATTAAGCGATACTCCAGTGTGTAAACCAACGCTACCGAAAAAATGAAGCGTGCCGAAGCCCCGATACATATTTAATGTAAAAGATTTCGATAAAACCACTTCACTTGGGTTTTAGCATAGGGCTGCTTTGTGGCTTTATCATCAGACCACCTTGTCACCAGCCGCCCTGCCGAGAAGCTACCGTTTTAAGTCTATAGATTCCGAATCGTACGTGTATATATGTATATGGATACACATACATATGTTGATATGAATAGGGTATTTATTTTGATTGAGATATATGCCTGATATTGTAGATTTATTGTACGATACCTGGATGCTGCATATTATCTAATGTCTGCCGGGATCTTTGTATATTACTTTTTTAAAAGAAGAGATGAGCTCTGGTATTCCCGCAATCAATCATGCTGTATATTATTGGATGGCCAATGTGGAAGAGGATAACGCAGACTGTGCTTTGTGCCGTTTAATCAACTAAATAGATCGATCATACGCTGAATGATATCCTGGCTTTTACCGAGACTCAGTTAAATTTCTTCCGTGCGGAAAGAACTCTGAAAGATGACTTCAAATGCACGTTTATATTAGAACCGCGTATTTTCAAACGGTATTCATCCCATGGTACTGTAGACATGAGTTATATAAAGAAGAATTCGTTTGCCCACTTGTTTTCGCCAAAGCGGGATATTAGCAAGCCGAATTTGCTAAAATATAAGCTATACAAAGAGATGGTATATTTAGGGCAAAGAGACGGCTTATCGATCGCAAGAAAAAAACAATTCTGATTTTACAGAGTACCCATTGATCAAATGAGATGATTCCGACTTTACGTTTCTGGATGCAAGACGTCAAAATAATATTTGGAAGAAACTCTAATCTCCGACGACAGTTTTAATATGTTCGAAAAAATTAGCAGAAAAGATTAACTTATAGGACTATATCAAGACAAAATACAGAGGCAAACGGGCTGGGCTGAATAATGTAGGGTAGAGGAAAAGCGGATCTGCCAGTTTCAACTTTTTGCGCTAATAAACTACCATGCCACCTAACTCTAGAATCTTTACCTCAGACTGGTGGTCAGACCGGATGAAAATAGATTATGCGATGAAGGGGATTCAACTATTTGTTTTAGAATTCGCAGCAGTGACCCACAGCCGAGACCGTTGTATGAACCCAATATTAGGTGCCAAAATCAAATAGCAACAAACCAAATAGCGATTGTCGGTGATCAGGCTAATCGGCCCGATCCGACATGGGTCTGTAGTAACATCAGAAAACCTAGCCGCGTGAATGTTTCCATAATGTAATAAAGGTTTGCAAGAGCTGTTTACAAGGTACGTGCAAAAATTACAATATGACCAATTGTTCACGGTAAGCGTTGCATTCACTGAACAAGGTTTCTTTTTACTGCCATTGTGACCATTAGAGCACTCTCAGGTCTGCTGTACCTTAGTTCGAGAATGCCCGTTTGTATCAGACCTCATCTTTAAAGTCAAAGGCATTGCTTGACCGCTCCTGCTCTGGGAACATTTTGAGCGTACGAAATTTTGAGCATGGCCAAAAATGAACGTTGTTACTTTGAAGGGACACTATCTTCATGCACTTGCACTATGAAGTGTCAATGTATTTTCAGTGTTAAGGAATAGATTTTAATATGAATGGTATGACAAGCAGCAGACAACGGCTGTTTGAGGAAAGCGCGACGGGCTTAAGCTTTTCAGGTCCGTCAGGTAGAAGTGAACATCGACAAAATTTCTGTGATGAGGTGTTGACAACAACAACCAGCGAGATCGTAATACCCGCGAAAATTTGAACTAGCCGAATCATTGTAGTAAGTATGGCACGCCTCGACCGCACGTGAGCTCTTGTTTTACCTACTATTGCTTTTTGGAACATTACAATGCAGCAGAGGGCAAAATGGCAAATGTACGGTTTGATGCAGCGAAGACTGTGCGAAGGGCCTCATCATCTACTTAAATATTAACTGGCGAATAGATATTGTGTAGGTGTGGCGAAGCACGGCAATGGCGCGGAGTGTAAATGCATGATACCTACAACGACAATTAATCATTGTATCATCCTAAAACACAATATGGTTACATCGACGGGATCAACCTGCGCGTCGGTGCTCTGACAACTGCGTTTTTCATGTGGAACCGCCTCCAGAAGAAGGTTGAGGTAGAATAAAACACTACTGGGATGAACATACCAGATTTGTGACACATTTAAGAGACTGAGCAACTAAGCCCCATCTAGTATTCATACGGAAACCGCATCTGGACTTTACGTCGCTACGGGGTTAAGCATGCGCGTCTCATGCCCTTTGTAGCAATGTCTTAAGGAAATCCAAAGCCGAAACTTGTGAACCGGCACAAATCAAGTGTCGTTCTACAAGTAATACGCATGTATATGTATAATCTACCTGTAGTAACTCTTAAAAACAAAATAAGTGTATTAATGCTATGCATTGAAGGCAATCGTAGACCTGAATTAAGACGGCTTCATCAAACGCTTCTACGTCGGTAACTTGTCGGTAACTAAGAGGCATGATTATTTAACGAATAACTCCCTGTTCTGGCAGTATCAACATGGCATCGTCGTGTACATCCGGTTGCCTGAGGCGGATACAACAAACGATGCATTTTGGAGCGAAGTGTCATATAATATCATCGCGATTACGCTTCACGTTATTCTAATTGACGCTTCTTAGCTTCTAAAAGACGGAAGTAGAAATCTTGCCATTATGAATTAGTATTGCTATGAAGAAGCCGTTTTAGCCGATCTTGGTTCTCTCCTTTTTTCCTAAACTCGCTACTTTCATTTTAAAGGTAGACTCTTCAAGGGTCTTGGATAATTTACATCAGAAATCATGAAGAAGTCCTTTTCAATATAGTCGTAATTACATAGGACGGTTTATCTTTTTAGCGAACCATATGACGGTCTTACACGGTCTTAGTTTATCCCCGACCCAATCTCAGCTCACTCAATTCAGTTATTAGTATAATCCAACTGTTGGTAAATATTGCCCAAATATCAATTCCTGAGCGACTCGCGCGTTTATGCGGCCCTTCTCCGCTACGGAACGCCTCTTTCCCGTCAGGAGCAGATACCCTCTCTGCTGTCTGGTACTGCTGCTCGTTCTAAACGAAGCGCCGGCTGCCTGCCGATGCCAACGAAGATGACGTTAACAACAACAACAGAAGCTTCAACTTCGGTTTGTTTCAGCCGCCGTCAGTGTGGCCAGCTGTCAGATCTAGCGAAACGTTCAAGTGAACGGGTGTTCGATCCACGTCAACAGTGATTGTTTTTTTTCTCTGACAACATTGAACATTCCGCACATCGGCATCAGTGAATCAGCACCGACCATCGATCCACGGTCGATTAACGAAACTGAGCTCAATCCAGTCGCTGGACCCTGATTAATCAGTGTTAATTTGTAGCGTAACTTGTTTAGGCTGAAATGTCACGTGAATGCGGCTGCGGAGCGAAGAAGAGCTTCGGCAGATTTTAGAAGCCCGCCAACCCGACAACTGAATCGTGCGCGGTGACGTTCAGCCGGTGACGAAGGCAAAGTACGACGTCGTAATCCTGAGACATCGTGTATATTTACGTTACAGCCGATATTAGAGGTGGCATTGTATCAGTGGAACGGATACCGAGTTGTTGGTACTGTATATGATAGGCTCCAGGTTACGGAGTTCTCGCTTCGTGGAAAAACCAATTCGCAGGACGACGAGAGCGCTAATAATATACGGGAACGTCTAGAGTACGAAACGACTAACGAGGTGTTTTGTTTGTCAAAGATCACCGTGGCGATGAGTTTGACTATGATTCCATAGCACTTATCGTAGCTTGACAAGATCGATTCATAAATTACTTCTAACTACATTATCGATTAGCGACTATATCGGATGGTATACGGTCAGCTCAGAAGTATTTGGCCCCTATATATCTGCCGGGAGCTTTATATTCGTGATAAATAACTGCAACCGAAACGCCATCAAGACGTCCGCAGTAGAAGCATGTAATTTTGAGAGACCGAGACCGAAAGAAAATAATCGTAGAAGGAACTTGGTAAGCTTGAAAACGTTTCCTATATGTGTATTGTGGAGGCCGAATGTAAAATTAGTATATTTCCATATATTCGTGACTCAATTTTTGTTTTAATTAATAGAAGAACTCCATGTCCGCTCGTTACGATAGAGTAATTGGCGCTGCCGCACGTAATTGTTTCACAATTACCAATCAAAAAAAAAAAAAAAAGATAGGGCGGGTATCGGCTCAAGGGTCTCGTGTAACGAAGAAATAAATGCCTCAGTTAAAACAAGAGAAGGAGGCATACTGTAGTTTTACTGCTAGACGTTAAGCGTATACTATTTATTTTGTATCAATCGTGTCGGTTTGGTCTAAGATGTTGTAAAATGGGGAATCTAGTTAGTCATCTACATCCTCAATGTAACGATAACATTTACCGATTGCTACTATATCAATTAGTGATTTAGACTAGGCAAGTTATCAACCTGAACGATACAAATAGTCGGTGTTACTTATTCAGAAATAGGATGATTGGGGTATCGTTGCACAGGGCCTGTTCGCGTTTGTGTGCCGGTTTCTCCAAAGGCCGCTGAGACTTATAATGTTTTTGTCATTAATACTACTAATAACAATCTTAATAATAACGAGCCTTTCCGAATAAATCTTTCGAATAATTTAATCATTGCTTTAACATGAAAATGAAAAAGCTTCTGGGATAACCGATAAGGCTGATACGGTTAAGGGAATACTTTTCACGGTAGCAACTGGGTTGTATAGGAAAATGTTCGATATATTAGTGGCACTCATGGCACGGTATACCCAATATGTCGTGGTAAGTCATACGATAATCAAATCGCTCGATTTGATGATAAGCTATGTTAAGTTTGTAATGACCGGTTGCAGGATCGTGTTTAGCTGCGAAATTACTTTATTATACATTCAGGGTGAGACACGTCGACGGCCGGCTTGAATCAGCGGGACGCTTCGTGTAGGACGGTTCGCAGCGTAGCTTTTCGAAGAAATGCAATTACATAAAAACAATCTATCCCGAGAACGATCTCTCTCAGAGAGATCGTTTATTAGGACATCTGTGACGGGTCAGCCTTTGTCGAAAATAGCTTATTACTGCTCTAAATACTAATTCGATTTTTTAAGTGATTTTAGGCCAAATCATCACTGCTGCGCAAGCCAGACATATGCGCGTCGAGTAATCAGCTCACAAAAAGTACGCATTTTTGGGCCGACGACAAATACATTACCTAAAACCGCCACACATACACAGACATAGAACAACACTATAGATTGGTTAAATCATCGTCAGCATCTGCTGAAACGAATCAGATGAAACAGAGAATAAGTAAAAAGGTAAGAGTGGAGAAAATGCTATTACGAATCATTTTCGCTATAAAACACGCTCTTTCCAACACCCAACTTTACGTGACCTCGTCACCGTAGGAATGACATACATAGCAGTCATGATGACGACAAGCACTGCAGAGCAAAATGAGCCAAAGACGAACGGCATAAGAAGAAGTGTGAAACAATTGTGGTATAATTTTCAACAGTCCTCCATAGATTTAACAGTAATCGTAGTAATAGCAGCAGCATCAAGAGTCTACGCTATTATTCGGTCTACATTTCGTCGTAATGTAACTTTTCGCCGCCGCAGCGGCCGTAGTTGTCAGTGTTGTTGCCGGCGTTCTTCGCTGCGTTCATCTATCTTTTCGTGGTCGATCAAACGGGGCCAGCCATACAGCTGCCGTCGAAGTATTGAATCAACCCAGACCCGTGATATGGTGACTTGGTTACATAATCGTTGTATATATATATAGTTGTTACGTTCCGTTGACTCTGCCGATGACGACGGCGGTAATAGCGATTGTGATGGCAGTTGCCTTCTAGCGGTTACTTTCTCTACCATCAGCGGCTAGACCTGCCATCATAGTGGTCGATCCAGTTGCCGCCGCCGTCGCTTCTGCACAGCTCCTGCTACTACTGCTCTGGCCGTCGAAGGCGAAGTACAATCATTCGCTGCAGACGATGGTAGTCGGCGGCGCGAAAAGAGAGAAAAAAAAACTACAACATAAAAAATCTACGCATCAAATCATTCACTCAGCCATAATAGACGCGCTACGTTGCGCTGCGATATAGACCGTTCGATGCGATTGTTGACGTGTCTTTGCGTGTGAAGATAACTAATAGAAACGCGGGTCATCAGATACAACGGAACCTGAAATATCAGTTGTTGGTTGACAATCTACCTCAAAAACAACAACAACAACAACAGAAGTACTCAAAATGCGAAAAACAATACTAATAATAATAATAACAGCAATAACAACGTGACAATAAATTCGTCTTTATTTATTTTTTTAATAATGGTTTTCGGCACTGCCGTGACGCTCTGTACCCTAATAAAGGACACTCAACAAAGGCGACTGGCTTGTTGGGGCTCACCTTGAACAAGGCCTTAATGGGGTCGAATCGACAACAAGCATTGCCCTGATCATTGTGTTTCGATCACAAAACGGCTTTCCGTACGTAAACATTGCGTCGAAAATGGATGCGAAAGAGTCAGTTCAAATACTATGTAAACGTAGGGCATTATACGTAGTCAAACGCATCGTTAAACCGCAAGAGTTTCTTCTACTTGACTGAAATAATAAAAGTGCGGTAAAGCTTTCTGATGTTGAAATAGTGTGAAACTCGCTTGTAGCAAATCTTTACAGGCTCTCTTTTGGTGAGCATTGTTTCGTGTTGGAGGAGGATGGGCCATTGGTATAATCTCGAGCACCTTTTTCGAGTAAACTCCACAGCATCTACTTTCACAAACTTTAGCTTATGCCGTTATGTAACGAGGGGCTCTTGAAATGAAGCAATTACGAAGCTGATGACCGGAAAGCAGTTAGAAGGAGCAAGACTAACAGATATCTTCAAGACAAGTTTGTTAAGGTGTCCAACCACAAGTATAAAATATACTTGAAAGTTTCCGTTCTTTAGAAAATGAGTCAAAACAATGATATGGCGGAATTGGTCCTAGTGCAAGTTAACACCTTCTCTAAATTTCGATTTTGAAAAAAGTACACCTTACATTCGCGACCTTACGGAACCGTATTTTCATTTTTCTTTGTCGGTTTATATGTGGCGATTATCTTTTTTATTTCAGCTCCTTCCGACTTTGAGGTGTGGCTTGCATGCAGGGGCTTATATTCAAATCAATACGTTATTACAGTGGGCCAAAGAAACGCACAGCTAAAAAGAGAGACGATGACTCTGCTTAGATTCTATACAAATCTACGCTCAATGGAATACATCTGTGTTTATGGAAGAAGAAAGTTCTTGCCATCGGTTGATTTTTCTCTTTGGCGTTTGTGGAGACATTAGAACAAATAAAGGCAAAATAATTAGCCTTCGTGCTAGCATGATACACTGTCCTCATCTTCGCACCGGCTGTGTTCTATGATATTCAGATGTTATTATATCTGTTTATTATAATTGGCCCCACGCCCCTTCTTCCACCCCTCAATGCCCTTTGAATGACCGCATAAGCTAATCGAGTTCACGTCGTTTTTAATTGCAGATTTTACCATCACCAGTCACGATTCGCAGCAAAAATACCGTTGTAATTTGTTCTTCTCTGTCGTTCGCCTGTTTTGAGGGCGGAACATGACGACCGGCGTCGATGAATATCACTAAGTGGTTGTCATAAGGGTCTTGGTCGTACTATTTCATGTCCGCAGGCTGTCGGGGCGTTTGGCGTTAGCTAATAGTGTATCTTTTTCGTTCCTGATACAGTTCGCAGTCGTCATGAAATTGCTAACCCGATCAGATTTAGGTGTTCTTTCGTGCGGAACTATGGTGTTTTGGCGCATACACTAAGGGTACACTATATACAATAGAATGGTAGATCACTAACAGGCATCATTCAGGTTGTTTCAAGGCTACGTTCATTATTTGTTAGATCGTGGAAATCACCTAGGGCCCCTTTACTGTCGGGAGATACATTACCTTTCTCGAAATTCTGTAGTCGCATATTATTTGTTCTTTCTCAAAGAGTCAGTCCAATTTCCTTTGTTGCGCGCTCAGTTGGCAGTCTCAAGTTTTTTTGGCATTTGTCCCATGTCCCAACTAAGTAGGAATGAGCACACTGGTAATGCTTTTGGCTCTGTCTAAAAAAATACAAGCATCGGTGTATTTCTCAACTGAAAACGACCATGCGTTTTTTTTTTTTTGATGTATGAACAATAGAAAACGTAAGGTTGTAGGGCTGTTAGCAGGACGATCATTAGAAGAAACGTCGTCTCTTTCGAAGCCAGCCGTCTGTTACAGACGGCATCGAAAATTCCCCGCGTGTTCCATATGGCAACAAGCTTGCTGCAAGTTTTGATATGACTCGTGTAGACTGTGACATTTCAGTCTGCTGATTTATCGGCCGATTCTGAGTAGAGCACTGCAACTCCCATCCTAACGACGGTCGTCATTTGGACAAACTTTTTTTGTGCATAGCCACTGCTACTAACTTGTGCTAGCATAGTAGCAGCTCTGGAGTATCTCGTCGTCCATAAAAAAAATATGGTTATCAGCAGTCGCCGTATATCACTTTGTTTTTATATCCTCACTTCATCGAGCCAATAATCCGAGCTGCATGATGAGTTTCACCCAGCTCTAAAAACGTTTGGAGAAACATCAAAATGAGAATTCTAGATATGATGTTTTTCGGAAATCCAAACATATATACAAAAAAAAAGCATATGAATAGATGTAAATTTGTTTTCTAGTTCGTAGCTACTTTGCTTACTTCTTCTGTTTCTTGAGGTAAATGGCTAAGCGAGAGCTCTTCCAGGGTGAATTTGCGGACTCAACGATAACAGGGTGCTGCGAACAACAGTCCAAATATTTGTCATCAGGATTTGAATGGGACGATTTTTACTGTAATTTTTAGCACAAAAAAATGAAAGCTGGACACTTAGACGCCAAAAATAACTCAATATAATTCTACTCGGCAGAGTTTTGATTATTCAAACTCAGTAAAATTAGAA